CGCAAGCGCGGCTGCAAGACGGCGACGACCGGCCTCGGCGCCTCTCTTTGTCTCTCTCCCTCCTGCGTAATTAATTGAGATCCACCTTAATAGGATAAAACTAAATACCAAAGAGCATCCAACCACACAGCAGCTGGCAGCAAAACAACAGCCGGGCGCGCACGTACAGAAAGACAGCTCAACGGACAAAAGGCCCATTTAATACAGTAGCTATTAGCGGTTCCTGAGCTAATAACTTCAGGACCACAGTCTTCCCGCGGCCGGGGCCAGCCTGGGGCGATGCGGAGCGGGGAGAGCAGCCCCTCGCAGCAACGGTTTCGTTAATCATGGTGTAAGATACGTCTCGTCACGTCTAAACCGCGTGCGCCTTCGGCAGCGGTTGGCGTCTAGCCAAAGCTGGCGGCAAAGTTAGTCCCTGCTCGCGCGGGTCTGGGGAAGCCTGGAGGCAACGGGTGGTGGGGCTGGAGCTGGCGCGATGCCTCCGACCAGCATGCTGAAGGCCAAGGGATGGAGGCGCCCAAGAGACGGGGTCAGGGGGAGACTGGGATTCAGCGAGCAAGGAAATCAGGGGTGGTTTCTCAGATTTTAGGAAAAGTTTTCTCCACCTTCCACCAGCAGACAGCTTTAAGGTGAGCTTCTCGGGGCTTCAGTGGAAAGTGCCCAGAAGGGTAAGCTGGCGAGTAAGAATATCTCTGTGTATTGAAGAGAGAAGGGGTGTGGAAGGGGCGCAGGGCCTGTGCTCAAGCATAACGATGCCTTTTCTTGATGGGTTTAGCCGTTGTGGCAGGTGACAACATCTGATGCCTTCACAGGGGCCTCCTTGTCCCCTCTTGGGGTGTTCCACCGGGAGCGATTTTGTACCTCCTGCCACGTTTCATGCCGGCTGTTGCCCAGCTTTCCCGAGGACCGGCACGCGGGCAGCCCGGCACAGCACTCAGGATCCTGTGCCGGTGGGGTCGGGGGACACACGGCCATTACCACCATCATCTGCTGGGGGACGGTGGGGAGCTGGGCATTGCCCAGCGCGGTGGAGATGGGCAGCCCCAGCCCAGAGCCGAGGGCTGGCGCGGGACGTTGCTGGGGGCTCATACGGGGTTTTACTGCACTGCTGGCAGCTGTGCAGAGCACTGGGCTGCTTGGATTGGGCTCTTACTGAGCTGTTTCCAGCGGAAAAAGCATTTAGAAGAGGAGCCCTGTGCTTTACTGCACGCCCTGCTCCAGCGCAGCGGAGGGGTGGCAGCCCCGGCTGAGCTCAGGCGCGTGCACGGGGGCTCTGAC